TTATTTTTATTATATACTTTAATTCACATTGATTTTTGAATTTCTACAGAGAAAAAGAAAACCTTGGCAAACCACCCCTTCCTTTTGCCTAGACCGCCAAGGAAGCACTGCTCTTTTCTTTCTCTCACTCATCACAAATCCAGATACTAAATTCTGAGACATCCAACTCCCAAAAGCATCTAACCACCTTGCCATCCTCCCCTCTTTCCCATCTCGACTGTCAAGATTTTCAGTGCAAATTGAAGAAATAACTTCTTCTATATCTTCTATTCTCATCTCCTGAGCACATCTTTTATAATAACAGAATTATCTCCCTAAACAGATCATTTCACTCACTTTGTGAAGTAGGAAGAATTAACAGGTAAAAACAAATAAATAAATAAACAAGAAGGAATACAGCACATTTGGAATCCGGCTGCTTGGAGCATAGTACTTGGGTGCTCACTTACCAGCTCTGCAGACTTAGGCAGATTATTTTTCAATGTCCCAGTAAATAAGTCTGATAGCAGCATTGCCAGTTACTGAATGAGCACTGTGTGCACAGCAGTCCTGTGAACTGGTATTCTTCCACTGGCCATATGAGAAAAGAGCATAAAGTCATAGACATTAGATTGCTCAACTATCCAGCCAGCAGTGGTGGAAGCATTCAATCATCCCATCTTATGGTCTCACAGCAGGAAAGTACTCCTTGTCATCCAGGGTGGTGACCATCAAGTGAGGGGTACAGATCGGCCCAGAGAAGCATGTGAACTTGGGCGTCTTTGTGAAAGCCCCTCTCTCTTGGATTTTACTTCGGATCAAAGGCCTGAACCTGGCCAGGCTCTTTTCTCATCCCTGCCCTTCTTTCTCTTTTCACATCTAGGTCCAGATCCATATGAAATGAGTTCCTGTTTCTAAGCACAAACTCTTTTCATGTCTCACAGTTATTCCTTCAACGTATTCACATTTTAAATATTGCTTGAGTCCGGCCTTGTCTGCAGAGCCTTTAATGTCAGAGCTATTGCTCCAAGCCTGTAGGCACCCCTGACTGACTGAATGCCCTAGCTTGTGACAGTTGCTACCTAATCCTGTCTTGGCTTTTCACCATTCAAGGACACATCTGCTTGCTCCACTCGGATAGGAGTTCTCTGAGTCAAGGTATTCATTTCCTGTCTACACTGCTGAGGACTTGCCTGATTTTAGTACTAAAAGGCCCGAGTCTGCAGAACCTGAACACACAGCACAGGACAAAGCCTGCAGATGATCTGTAGGCCATCTCTGGGATAGTAAGGAACTTTGGTTACACCTTATAAAAGAATGTTTAAAGGTTTCTTCAGATTAACCCGAGATTCTCAGTATCTTTCATCTTTAACTCAAGACTTATCATTGTATTTATCCCTGTGCCCATGGTGAGGACTGTTCCAGATCCCTCTCCAAACATCCAAATTCCCAGACATTCAAGTAGGTAAAAATGGCATAGTATTTGTATGTAATCTGCATGCATTGTTCCATATATTTAATGTAAATTCTAGATTACTTCTATTAACCAATATGATATAAACGCTATATAAGTTGTTGTTATAATTTCAAGCAGTGTGACAACAAAAGTCTGTACATGTTCAGTACAGTAGGTACAATATTATCAGAATATTCTTGAGCTATATATGATGGAGGTCAGGACTGCTGCACAGGTCCTGAAGGGTATATTTTTCTGGTCATTGTATTAAAATGTTTTATCTAGTAGAAGAGTAGAATACTTTAAATGCTGGAAAGATTATTTTTAAAAGGTTGTTCTGCAAGAGAGATGAGCAGTTGAAATGCTTCTGTAAAATGCTGGGTAGGAAGGAAGAAAAACAAAACAATCTCGCTCTGTACTAAACAGTCTTCACTAACATGCTGCTGGATCTGTTCCTTTGTTTCATAAACTGTGCATAATTATGGTATGCAAAACCTTCAGATATTCTTGCTATGGAGGATTTAAAAATATCTGCTCCACATTTTCAAAATAAGTTTCTCATGTACAGTAATTATCTCATATAAAATGTGCAAAGCTTAAGATAATCAATTTAAATTTAGACTGTCTCTCTTAGGGTTGACTTTGACAGTGCTATAGTGTTGCCTCAGGGTATTTCCTACTAGGGCAAAATAGAATCTGATTGTTGGAAGTTCATTGGGGCTAGATAGGCACTTGACTTCACAGAACATTTTGGAGGGAGAATAAGAGAAGATATTTCAGAACTGTGGGACACCATCCCCCGATTCGTACACAACTGGTTATTGAAATAAATCTCTAATCTCTGCAGAGAGCAGAAGGCTTCTGCCAGAACTGAAAAGTCACACCACAAAATGATACGATGGCATCAAACACAGATGGCTCTGTAGGAGCCAGATGTAGTGGTGCACATCTGCAATGCTAGCACGCAGGAAGCTGAGGCAGGTGAATTAAGAGACCCGAGCCAGCTTGGGCTGTATAACTAGTATAGGACCAGGAGAGCCACATAGTTTGACCTAGTCTCAAAATATTAAGGGTTGGGGAGGGAGCTCAGTGGTATAGTGCTTGTCTAGCATTCAATTCCCAAAAGTTCAACAGTCATAAGACCTAGTTGTACATTCCTGCAATCCCAGATACCTGTGAGGTTGAGTCAAGAAGACTAGAAATTGTGTGCACAATTATAAAAATAAAGATTACTGGGCCTGGAGTGTAGTCAGTGGTAAAGCACTTTGCCTAGTTTGTGTGAGGTCTGTTGGAGCCCATTTTCAGGTTTTCTAGTGGCTTTACCCAGCAGGTCTGCATAGAGAGGATGATTGGACCACGGGCCTGAGTGCAGGTGTCTGAGATGCTGTGCTGGGGGGAGGTCTTTTGTGCCACCCCTTGGCATTCCTATAAATACCCCAGGCCCATTTGGATTAGGACCCAGATCATCTTGAGGCTATCCTGTATTTTCTGTTCCCCCCCCCCTCTACCCTTCTAACCAATATTTCCTGCTGCTCCTACTCAAGAGTACTCTGGGAAAATGTGGGGGTGGTGGGTAGTTCTTCCACAGAGGTCCTGAATTTGGTCTTCAGCACCAAAAGCATACAATACTGATGATAAGTATTATAAAATTAAATTGCATCAAATAAAAATATAGCTTTTTAACACATTACTGCTAAAAAAGACTACTATACTAATTTACAAAGTATGCAGCTCAATTAAAAAGTTCTATAAGCTCTATAAAAATAAGTAAATAATTTAGTGTTAAATAAGTATGGAGTAATCAGTTTTACTCATAAGGAACTGAAAATTACAGGGAGAGATTTAGAGCTCTTAATCTATCAGCTTGTCAAAAATTTAAAAAGAATACAAAATGCTGGCAATTGTATAAGAACACAAGCCTTCCTATGTACTAGTTTGGAGATTCAAATTGGTGTTATTTTTGTTATATTTGTGAGCAGTTTAGCAACATCCACTAAAGCTTTAAATGCACATTTCTAACAGGAAGCAAGGGGATCATGAGTTCAAGACAAGCCTAGCTACACAGTGAGTCTAAGGCTGTTTATTTAGATATAGAGAACCTGTCTCAAAATGAAGCAAAGCAAGAAAAGCACATTTCTTTGACTCATCACTTCCACTGCAACAAACTGAACCTAGAAATGAATTCAAGACATGCCTAGCTGGCTGGGGATGTGGCTCATTAACAGAGCATTTACCTTTCTTTGCAAATATAAGGTCTTGGAATTTGATCCCATGCACTGAAATGTCTTCACAGAAATTAGCTAATTTTTGCAATGTAAAGAAATGAAAATAATTTAGTTACTTGTTGAGAGATGATTGATAAATGGAGTGATCTCATATTTATAACATAGAATTATGTGGTTATTTAAGGAGAGCAATGTTCACAGGGATATCAGTAAGAGAGAGAGAGAGAGAGAGAGAGAGAGAGAGAGAGAGAGAGAGAGAGAGATCCAGAAAGAAAGACACTGTCTGTATACATCTGAAATATGGAGTGTTGGTGGTTAGGGTATGCATTATTAGACATACATACATGTAAATGTTTTATGAAAAAACACAAGAAATTAAGAAGTGGTTCCCCTGGGGAGAGGAACTGGGTGGGAATCAAAAGCATATGTGGAATAGGGCAATTTTTATTTTTTTCTGAACTCTTGGAAAGTTATAATCACGCCCCTTGACCTGCACTCCAATGCCCACTTCATTTGATTCATAGACACTCTCCTGATTTCTGTCTATTGCTGAACACAGTGTTCTATACAAAGTCCTGTTCTTTTATTTCATTTATCTACTTTTAGACCCATGCAATGCAGCATTTGCATCATTGTTAACATCTTTCTATGAATACATTGCATGTTTGAGTGCCAAGCACTTGGTAGAACTTGGGTCTATTAGTTATAACTTTGTCCCTTGTAATTAAATTTGATCTATATAATGCCCAGCATATCTATTATAAGTCTTTGCTTTTAGTTAGGATAGCTAGAGTGTCACAAAGCTATTTCAAATGGCTCATGTGAGCACTGGTGTTACTGAAGTGCCATTTATTACTATGTGAGCATTGGAATTTGTCTTAGAATGAAGAGCACACACATCAAAAGGTGGAAACCACTGATAAGGGACAAGAATAAAACATGCAACTATGACAAGAGGCAGTTGTACTGTGAGAAAGGGACCAGGAAAGGTAGATGTGACCTTTAGAACAACTTGTGTGTCTTCCCCCACCCTGCAAATGATATAAAACAGTCACTTAAGATTTACCTCAGTACTAACACTTCAAGGAATAGCCCCACTCAGTATTCACTACAACAAAAACACTTGTATATGGAGATATCACCACCTCCACAATCGGCTTCATAATCATGAAGTCTTCTCTATTACAAAAATACGTTGTGAATTTATCCATCACTAAAATCTGTATGCATTCAAAATGACAGACAATGAGGTCTAACACAGACACTCAGGTCCATTCTTCCATTTATAACTGTTAGGGGCCATCATTCATCACACTGGGGTTTAGCAGAGCTTCACTTACGTCATGAAGGTGAAAAACGTGCTCAGGGGCTCCAATGAATGATTCCGGAAATAGTCAAACTCTCTACAGAGCTTTTTCCTCATCTCTGTGTCAATTTTGGAAACAGTGAGAGGGTTTGTTTCATTAGCCAGGAAGTTGCCGTACTCAGTGGTCTGGAGATGAATTTTCAGATCTGAAATGCAAAGAACCCCAAGTAAAGTTAAACTTGGAGAGGTGTTTGTGGTAACTTTAAGGTGAAGACATATTCACTATCTTTTTAGATTTTTCCATAGGTGTATACATCATTAGACTAGAGTGATGATCTCTAAAGAAGTGAACAGTCAGCAGAAATAGCGATATTGTAGCACACCATAAGAATTTCAAATTACCCAAGAAACAGTATTTCACACAGCTAAAAACAAGCAAGCAAACAAAAGCCCCTAGACCAGAGCCGTTAATCTTAAATGTCAGTTTAACAGGTTCTGGAATCGAGAGAGAGAGTCCTCCAGGCTGATGATTTCCAAGTTATCCAAGAAGACTCTTCCCCACCCTAAGTTGCACCTTCTGGTGTAGGCTCAGATACACAGAAGACTGAGGAAAAGTGTCCTTTGCTTGACATCCTTCACTTTATGCTGGTGATGTGTTGTCTGTTCTGTTGCCGCTGTTGACCACCACTGCTGTCTCCCTGTTAACCCAGGACCAGGGGACTCTCTAGGAGTCTTTTAGGCCTTTAGCATCACATGGGAACTGCTGTGGTGTCCAGTTTCGTGGCCTGAACAGCAACGGGGTTTTCAACCTTACCATCATGCAGAGGGCCACCCAGACCCCATGGGTTATAAGCCGTTCTAGTGAACTTCCTATTACAGTATGCACTCACTCTGTCAGTTTTGTTCCTGTATAGAACCCTCACTGACACAGATCGCTTTTCATTGGCCAATTTTAATCTTTAGTAAATAGTTTGAAAAACTTGAGAATGCTAAAGCTCTGTCCAACTTGAGGAAAAGAGAGACTAGTAACAGCAGACATAGATACAGGGTGGGATGGGCAGCCCCCATGGCTCACTTTTAGTGTCCTCTAGCTACAGACGAAGAAGCAGAAGTCCAGAAGGCCAAAATGGGGGAGTTATATGGAGGTTGTACTGGAACTAGAAGACATTGTACTCACAGAATCAAGCATCACACTGCACCATCCACTCTTTTCATGTCAATGGTTTGTGTTGCAGAGAATTGAACTCAGTTCCAGCTTCATTTTATTGTCTATTCTTCCTCAAAAGGCCATGTGCCATGCTTTTGTTACTGTGGATCCCACTCTCTAGAATCATGTAAGTAAACTGGGATTCAAAGCCATGTTTAAATGACTTCAAAGCCATTTAAAAGCTATAATTTGCTGTCGATAATACAGTAATTTATCACATACTCTGTAAAGCCTCGATTTCGCTGACCTGAATTTGAAAACACTTTGTTAATACTTCTGGCATAGCACCTGCTGTATTTTGAATATTTCCTATAAGGCTAACCTGTCTGAATATTGGTTTCCTAGCTGGTGGTGCTATTTTGAGAGACCAGAATTGTGGCCTATTTAATGGAAGATGGTTACTGGGAGTGGGTTTTTTGTTTGTTTGTTTGTTTTTGTTTTGTTTTGTTTTTCGAGACAGGGTTTCTCTGAGTAGTTTTGGTGTCTGTCTTGGATCTCGCTCTGTAGACCAGGCTGGCCTCAAACCCACAGAGATCTGCCTGGCCCTGTCTCCCGAGTGCTGGGATTAAAGGCGTGTGCCACCACTGCCCAGCTTGGGAGTGGGCTTTGAAGTTGGGACCCGCCGCCACAATTACATTTATTATCTTAGCCCTTCTTACCATCGTAGTTTGTCGTAGCTCTAATCAAGCTTACATCCCTCTCTGGTTCTGGTCTAATCTCTCTGCTTCCTGATCCACCAAGATGTGAACAAGCCATGACACAATTCCGGGGGCTCCATCTAAACTGCTTTCTTCACTGTGGTGTGCTGAGAGCTCAGCAAGTTAAGAGCATTTGTTGTTTTTGAAGAAGACCAGAATTCAATTCCCAGCAGCCACATGAGGGCTTACAACTCTCCATAACTCTAGTTCCAGGGACTCCAATGACCCCTGTGTGTACCAGGCATGCATATGATACACAGATATATATGTAAGCAAAACACTCTACACATAAAATAAAACATGTAAATCATTTAAAAAGAAGCAGTAGAGTCCTTGTGGTAGAGAACTATGGGGACAGGAAGATGAAGCTTCTGCTTACACTGCATCTCCCTCCATTTAGGAAGCAGCGAGATGCTGGTACTCAGTTGGCTTCTTCCTCCCCCTGTCTTTATTCAGCTTGGGATTCACTCATAGGACAGCAGTACCCCAGGAAGAGTAGGTCTTCCCTCCTCACTTAAGTCTCTGGAACCCCTCAAATACAATTTCCTATGTCTTTTAGTCAACTCCAAATCCTGTCAACTTGACAAGGAAGATTAAAACATCACAAGGAGATAGATATACTAAACAAATAGTGACCCCACTTATATTTTTATGTAGTTAAAAACAAACTTAATTCATACAAAATATGTACATCATAAATAGAAATTTTAATGTGTCACTTTAAAAAAAGATTGTAGGAGAGCAGAATTGAAGCTCAAGAAATAAGCATGTGTTGTCCCAAGGAAGACTAACAGGGAGCCATTCTGAGCTATGGGTGGATGCCACTCATAGCTGGGGGAGGGGTGATGAGGTTCTTGAGAGGTTGAGATATAGGTCATTGGATTCTTCTTCAGTGTCTTGAATAGATTTTTGCATCAAAGTTGTTCTTTACTGAATCAATTACCTGCTTAACTCAATTTTAAGCAATTACACTTCGTTCCATGCCTTGTTTGTCTGTCATTTTGATGGTGCAGATTTTTATGTAATTTTGCAGTTTGTATTTTCACTACCAAAGATTATTTGCCAACAGAAGCAACACAAATGATGGCATTTCTTTCAAAACCATGATATTTTGCTCAGTGACATATGTTTCTTTTAAGCTAAATAACTTTCAAACCTTTTCCCTGCCAATGAGAAGTTGTAGTGAAATACCTCCTTTGCTCCAGACCCTGGAGGAATCTTAGCATGCTGGAGTCCTAGAAAATGGAATAAGTGACCCATTTCCTTCACCAGCACCAATATGATCCATATCCAGACATTTGCATAGTGCTCAGGGTTGTATAGTTTTCAAAATGGGTTCACTATTTTTCCCTTGCATTTCCTTAAATGATCATCTAAGTAGGGTGCCAGCAATAGGCTTTGCAATCAAGTTCATCTGGATAAACAGGCTTCTTTACCATAGGAACTGAAAGGCTTTACTAGAATAATTTAGGGGTGCTGTGGGTATCATTCTGTATAAATAAAACACTGATTGGCCAGTGGCCAGGCAGGAAAATTTAGGTGGGACAAGGAAAGAGGAGAATTCTGGGAAGTAGAAGGCTGAGTGAAGGAGACACTACCAGCCACGGTGAGGAAAAGCAACATGTTAAGATACCGGTAAGCCACAAGCCACATGGCAGCTTATAGATTAATAGAAATGGGTTAATTTAAGATATAAGAACAGTTAGCAAGAAGCCTGCCATAGCCATACAGTTTGTAAGCAATATAAGTGTCTGTGTGTTTATTTTATAGGTGGGCTGTCCGGACTGCTGGGGATTGGCGGGACCCGGAGGTTCTAGCTACGTAGGGGATTATTTCTTTGTAAGGAGCAGGACACATACCTTTCAAGCCACTAAGAAACAAGAGAGCTGCCCTCAGAACACATATGGGGAGATCAAACTACCATTTTATTAATAGAGGTAGCATGGTATTTTCTTTATTAAATGAGGAAATATGATGTTTTACAGACTGTGGCATCCCTATGTACTTAATGAATATAATAGTTTCTAAACAGCAATAGAAAAGAAATCCATTAGGCCATTTGAATGAATGAGAGTACTTTATGACATAAAGTGGTAGGTATTTATGTATGCCTGAATGCATGTTTGTCAGGATGTAAAATGCTTCTTTTGAGTTTGAAACTACCCCTATGAAGGGAATGATCCAAAGCCAGGTGGATAGTGAATGAGACAGTATCTTCATTATTACCTTCTGTGGTGGTTTAAATAGGTATGGCCCCCATAGACTCATGTTTGAATGCTTGACCCATAGGGAGTGACACTAAGAGCTATGGCCTTGTTAGAAGAACTGTGGGGGCGAGCTTTGAGGTCTCATATGCTCAAACTACACCCAGCATGATATCCACAGTCTCCTTCTTCTACCTACAGATCAAGATGTAGAACTCTCAGCTCCTTCTCCAGCACCATGTTTGCCTGCATGCCACCATGTCCCACCATGATGATAATGGACTAAACCTCCGAAACTATAATCCGGGACCAATTAAATGTTTTCCTTTATAAGACACATGGTCATGGTGTCTCTTCATTAGCAACAGAAACCCTAACTAAGACACCTTGTGTTCATTGATTGGCAGATATTTTGGAAAATTATTTTATCTTGTGAAGCTTGCTATTTGGACCTGATTTTAATATTTAAAATTGAAAGTTGGGTGTGCTAGTACATGTCTGTAACCCTAGCACTCTGGAGGCTGAGGTAGAAAGATCAAGAGTTTGGGACCAACTTGGCTTACCTAGGGAGATTCTAAGTCAACAAACAAACAAAAAGGAACTTCTCTTCTCTCTTGGAAGTTATGCCAAGGAGGCAACTTTAGACGCACCTCTCATCCAGAGTACTGCTGCAGCCATTGGATCCTTCCCATCTTCCAGCTCTGCTAGTTCTGAGCTTAAGGGGGCCTGCTGATCTTTCTCAACTCCGTTTTCTGATCCAGAAAATATTAGAAAGCTCAAATGGCATGAGTAAGGCCCTGGGTATCACCTCTTGTACACACACAAGCACTTACACACACACATATACATACATACACACACATATGCATACATACACATACATGGCATGGGGGGAGTCTATACAGTCAAGCTATGGCAAGGGCTAAATAAAAGGATATCTCTGGTTTAATCACCAGCTTAAAAAGGCAACTGCAGTATATCAAGAGGCAGTATATAGAGACTACTTCAAAATGTTAATTTTTCTCTTTTGTGTATTCATCTACTTCCTAAACAGTTTGATTGTCTAAGAACTTTGACTTTTATTCTCTAAGTGGGGA